CCCCCCCGCCCCGAGGGGGGAAATCCCCTCTTCTATACTTTCTAAAATTTAAACCTTTAGATACGATAAGGCCTTATCATGCTTTTACAGGACAAAGAACTAAGACACAACAGGCTTTAAAACAAAACAAGTCATAACATTGGTTTTGAGTGCATATTATGCACAGAGAAACTTATAAAACTAAAGTAGTGAACACCACGTAGTACAAATAATTTTTAGTGGAAAGCAACAGACAACCAAGGATGTTAAGAAGTTGGGGAAAACTGCTTCTTTCACATTTTAATACAATCCACATTTTAAAGTGTTAACGCACAAACGGCAGTCCATAGTTTGGGTGAAAGTAAAGTCATACGTATTAACTACAAAGGTGTAAACCCCAGTTATATTCTTATTCTCTCTAACATCAGGGGTCTAAGAACTTTATGTTTAGGCTATTATCTAAGATTGTTCAATGCTCAGAAGTAACTTTTTTTGTAAATTCTAAAATACCTGGAGTTATACCACATGTTCAGGAAAAAACCCAGCAAACCCACAGTCAAAGCTGAATCAAGTCACTATTTTCCTTTCATGGAAAGCTCGTTAACTGAATTATGTGCCCAGTCTATAATTACAGGGAAGAATCATGCATAATTTCATAGACACACAAACACACACATGAGAAAAAAAGGAAGGAATTTCACATGGTTACAAGGCCTGTGTATGTGCTAAATTCCTTGTCAGGATCATCCCGGCTTTAAACAAGCGTGCTCTATAGGCCTGTGCTGAGCAGGACTGGAACGTGGCATTTAACACCTCCACGGCTGGCCAGTCCTGGCACTTCTGCAGGCAGAGCCTGCTACACTAAACACGGTTGAGGAAAAAATGCAAGCACATACAGCAAAGGAATTCGAATTCCCAAGTCTTATGAGAAAAACAAAGTTATAGTAATGGCCAAACGAAGAATTTTTTCATCAGAAAATGGTACAGAAAATAGCGCAGAATTGAACCCAACATGCTAGGAAGCAAAATTAAGCTCCAAAACATAAGGATTTTCTCCTGGATAACCGGAGTGTTTCCCTGTTTCGTAAACAGACATCAACTTTGTCAGTTGTCATTTATTTTGTAAAATGTGCAGTAGGATATACATAAGCATATCTAAGTTAATGTGATTAGAACCTTATTTGCACACTTTTATAAATGTCTGCAAAGTCCTGGCATAACACTTAATAGAAAAAGCCTATTAAGGCATAACATATATTTGTGCCCTTAATATATTTTAAAGGTGCTTTTTTTTTTTTTTTTTGGTGGAACTTGATGTTAAGACTTAAATACAGCCAATAAACCTGGCAATTTGATGGATTTAGAAAAATTGAGCCACTGAATTAGAGAATTTACTTCCTTTGTAAAGAAAGGATCAATACATGTAATGGCTTCAGGAAGTGTATTTCATAGCAAATGACTGGTGTAAAAATGCTCTGCCATACAGCAAGTGCAAACTGCACACTACTTCAGAAGTAGAAAAAAAATCAGACTGCCCCACTGGCTTTGTCTACAGCGGGTGTAGTGTGTAGCGACGTCAGAAGCTCAGTAGATCAGATCTGAAACCCAGTCTTGACATGGGTCAATGGATCAGGGGTCTCCCAGATAGCCCCCCAGGGCCAGCTATGGCATGAGCAGCTTTCCAAATGGCTGAGAGCAATAGGGAGGTCATCAGATTGCGGACAAGGTCAATCCGAAGTAGCCAGGGCAAAGACAGGAAAGATCAAGCAGGAATTAAGCTATTATCACCTCCATCCTTGTGTGAAACACTGCTTGGCTTTGAATTGTACATCTTTTTGTTTACAGTCACCTTAATTAACTAGGCAGGGTAAAAACATGCTTCTGTACCAAATGCTTGACAAGTACTTGATAAAAAAGAGATTCGAAACTATTTAATTGGATAAGTGAAAGAACAAGAATGTAGCAAGGATAAACGTTTGTAAAAAAGAAAGTACCCTAACACTGAAGTTTCTGTAGTTTTTATCCTCATGGACAGAAACTAACAAAGAAAAAGCAGAGACACCGGACTATTAAATCGATCGCAGCGTGCACCACAAATATGAAACCATACCATGATTCTGAATACTTAAAACATAAGCTCATTACATATGTTACTGATGTTTTGTTTTGGGTTTTTTTATATATATATATCTCTGTACAGCTATTCATTAGTTTCTTTCAAGATCAGAAAACATTTGGCTTTCTAGAACACACATTGTTTTCATTAGATTACACAGAAACAATATGCTGCCTGGAAACTTAAAAATTATCAGTAACTTCTGTTAGTTTGACTATTAGAAACTTTTCATAAAACGTTACTTCATTACTACAGAAAGGAGTTTTCAGAAAGTTTTTCACTGTCACCACAACGATATATTTTTACAAAAGGAGCTTCTAGAGGATCTGATTTTCTTATCTTGAGCATGTGCTAGCATTTACACATGGGAAAAGGGGGGCAAACAGATACACTGGACCATTCTAATTGAGTAGTATTTAGCGCCGATTTTCAATGGCTTTATACAGGTGAAAATGGCGACATTAGTTAAAGGCCAACAGTTTTTCCTAAAACCAGTGAACAAACCTGATGGTAAAATACTGAATTTTTATCAAACTTACAAATATTCTTCATGTATTGGGTAACTGCAGTCCTTAACAGTCCTTCTCAACTCTACTTATAGGGTCCTTCTCCTTTTTTCTTAAAATATTCACACTACATGTTTAAATTGAGAGTAAGATAGCAGATGCTGACTCATGTGTCTAACTTCATTAATAACGGAACTTCTTGGACACCTGAGAACATTAAAAAGACAAATTAATGCACTTTTTGCGTGTTTTTTGAGGGCGGGAGGAAGGAGTTACTTGTGGTTTCACACAAATAGCACATGAAGATGCAGGACCAGCCACGAGGGGCCAGACTGAAGGACCGTTTAGTATCTCACCTGGAACAGTGACAAGGACTGGAAGACTAACACAGGGCAAATACAGCCTTTCCACATGTATCATGTCATCTTCTTACAGTTAAATGGTTTTGAACTAATACTTCTGATTTTTAAAATCATTAATCATGGGTTCCACACTGGTTTCGTCTACAAAGGTTTTTCCTTTGGTTATTCTAAAACTGCTTCCTAACAGTTCCAGTGGATGGTTCTAGTACCCACAATGTGAAAAACAGTAAATATTAATTCCTTATTCACTCTTCTATATGCCCTTCTGGATACGATAGACCTATCTCATCACATTCTTCCTCAGTGGTATCTTTTTGCAAGCTAAAGGACTCTAGTCAATTTAGATTCGCTCCCTCTGGAGGTCTTCCCTTCTGACGAACCATTTTGTTTGCCTTCATACTTTTTCTAATTCTACTGAATCCTTTCTGAAATTGTATGCACTCACCACATGTACAGAAACAGTAAAATTGTCCCACATTTCTTTTTTTTATATGATTTCACGGAAAAACAAAAACATCTGTATGATTTGTTGAAGCTTTTGCTTTAGCACAATTGTGTTGAAAATTAGTTTCAGAAATTCCTCTATTGGAATTCACCGTTCCATAGGGTAGACACAGATATCCTTATGATAAGCAACATTTCACTCCTTCTGCCATGATTTCATTACAACTGATGAAGGAGCTCACCGTGAATATCACCATGAATCTAACACACAGTATTTATAGTGGTATATATTGCTTTTAAAAAATTAAAGATAAAATTTACCATATTAAAATGCTTATAAAACTCTGCGTATAATTAAAATACAATTTTTCTCTAACAAAAATGCCCTCTACCACATAGCAACAATAATTCCTAAGGAAACTTCACTAAAAAGATTTTTCTTACAAACAATATCAACAGAATGTCAGTTTAATGCTGATAATTCATTTTCATGTTTGCCACCACCATAAAAAAAATCTATATAAGATACGTTGTTTCTTTAATTTAATGAAATGTTATTTTATTCTTTTCTTTTGTTTAGGAAATAATAGACGGATGCCTTTTGAAGCAGAGTTACATCATCTGCAAAGGTGTCTGGAAACAGTGACGCAGATTCCCTAACCATATTAAAACATTTATAAGATACCAAATTTTCAAACTACATTATTTGACAATCACATTAAACAATATTAAGCCTATATATAACCTGTCAAACAAAATACTAAAAATGCATATTAGAAGTCCAGGGTTTTATTCATATTGCCACACTTTATTTCCTGTTAGGGGACTTAAATGGCATTCAAAAATATATACTAATATATTAAATGAATTCAAATTTCATTTTTTCATCACACGTCAATGTAATCGCTTTGATGACTGTGGGAAAGTATAATTTCTAAGTACCCATGAGTTTCCCTCCATCTGCTGTATGTGTGTTACTTCTCACAGATCTAAGAAATTGCCTCAAGACGCTGCTTGAAATTCTCCCAACTTGTAAGAAAAATACTTCAACAGGTTGCCATTAAAATTCTAAACTGAATTAATGAAGAAATTAATTTTATGAATGTCTAATGATCCTGTTAAAGTTCGAAGAGGTTATATTTCAAATATTTCCTAGTTTAAGAAAACTATAAAAAAATCTTCAATAATTTAAAATTAAGCAAAGAAAATTATAAAAATTCCAGATTATTATTTAGTAGATTAATGAAATACATGATAATCACAATTAGTAGCTGATTCATTATTGATCAATACGTAGATTTTATTAAGTCAATACTTTATTGCATAAAAAAAAGCATTTTTAAGGCACTAAAATCCTGTTACTCAATACATGGATTAGATATACACAAAATTATTTTACTTTTTACTGAAGACATATGTAAAAGTATGCAATGGTATTTA